GCCTGTACATTCGTTGACCTTGTTGGGATCGTTGGCTGAGCTCCTTAGTGAGCCATCTCTGCTTCTGTGTTGTAACAGCTTCTGTTCGGGCTCTACAGGCAAAGGCCAGAGAGATCTCTCTTGGGCCTTTTCCTGGAGGCTTATTGGCTGCCTGCTTTGCCGCCTGGTCAGCTTTCTCATTTCCTTCTACTCCTGCGTGTCCCGGAACCCACTGGACGGTGAGTTGATGACCTTGGGCTTGTAGTCTCTTGGCTATAGCATGTGCTTGGATTGCTAATGCTTGGCCTGGCCCTGGCTGGGTATGTCGCAGTCTCGCAATGGCGGCTTGGGAGTCCAGCAATATAGTGACTGGTCTCTGATCTCCTGCTTTCTCTGCTGTTTGGAGTGCTTGAACAGCTCCAAGAAGCTCTGCGTCAAAGACCTCACGTCCCTTGCCCAATGGAATCCCCCAGGTCTTCCAGGCTCCTCTTGGTTCTTGCCATGCAAGTCCCACTCCGCACCTGCCATTCTCCAATCTTGATCCATCTGACCAGATTGCTAGTCCTGGAGTGAGAGTTTGTGCTGCTACTAGGGCCTCTGGGCTTGGTAGCACTTCTATTTGGCCTGGGAACTGGCTACTGGCTGTCTGTATCGTGCTTTCAAAGCCCTCAGATGGGTCCGCTGGTAGGATGTTGGCTAATTGTCGAGCTAGATGTTGTCCCAGGGACCATGGGCCCCGGTTGCTGCTTTCCGCCCATTGTCGGTTCCCTGGGCTCTGCTCCCCGGGCTGAGTGTGTTGGTCTCCTTCTCGGAAGCTCACAGGGAGTATCTTCTTAGCCGGGTGGTTTTCCGGTAAACTGAGCAGCCGGGTAGTATATCTCAGTTGTCGGGCCTCCAGCAGAGCCTCTGCTGGTGCCAGGCCTGCTTCACGGACTAGTGGTCCAACGGGAGTGGATTTCAACATGCCAGTAATAGCACGGGCCTGTCGATTGACCATGAGCTGTATGCCTGCTAGTCGATCTTTCTGGCCCTGCCACCAGAGCTCTGCTCCGTATAAAGCTACTGACTGTACTGCCGCCACTTGGACCTGGCGAGCTAGTCCTGGAGCGAGTCCATGACTCTGGCATAGGCGTTGTACCCGGTTTTCTGCAGCCCGTGCCTTGCGCATGCAAGTCTGATGGTGGGCCTTGAGATTCAGCCCAGAATCAAGCCAGATGCCGAGCCATCGGGTTGCCTCTGGGTTGAAGGGCACATGGTGGCCATCTACTTCCACTCGTGCTCGTTCGATCTGATCTTTCAGCTCCCGGCCCCATTTGCGAGTAAGCAGGACTGCTTCTGTTTTCCCTGCATCAAACTGGACCACATTATCATGCCCCCATTCAATAGCCACCTTGGCTGCTTTTTGCAGTTTGTCACAGACTTCTTTGACAGAGTGTCCTGAGGCTAGCAGACCTATATCATCTGCAAAAGAAAGAGACTGGACGCCAGCCACACTCCTCTCAACCATGTCAAACACGCCACTCAGGTAGATGATGAACAGAATGGGTGATACAGGTGAGCCCTGTGGCACCCCTGAGTTGATTGGGTGTGCTGGACACTGTGTGTTGTCAATTTGCAATTGAACCCATCAGTCAGTCAGAAAAGATTGCACCCATCGGATCAAATCCCCATCTAAGCCGAATTCGATCAGCCGGCTCACTAGTCGGCCTGGATTGACATGATCAAATGCTCCTTTCACATCCAGGAATAGTACCCCCACAAGTTGCTGGAGCTTCCAGGCCTCATGGGTGTTTTGTATCAGACATGCCACTGCATCAACTGCACTTCGTTGTTTGCGGCCGCCCATTTGTCCTGGATGCAATACCCCTGTAGTCTCGCAGTGGTGAGCAATTGCATCCGCTGCTATCTTCTCAACCACCTTCCCTAGGCAATTTAGTAAGCTAATCACCCGGTAGGCCTTCACAGCTGTGTAGTCCGGCTTGTTGGGTTTCCTTAGCAGGATGCCCTTTGCCACCTTCCACACTGGCGGGTGTAGGCCTAGTCGGAAGCATTGTCGGGCTAGAGCGACAATTCTGGGGCTGTCCCACTCCCATAGGAGCCGGAGAGCCCGAAAGTTCAGTCAATCAATTCCCGGAGCCTTCTGGACTGCCTGGTGAAACAGAGCATGTTTAACTATTTCTTCATCCACCTGGCCATGCCAGGATCCTTGGGGGATCTCAACTTCTTGGCTATCCCCTGGTGCCTGGGGGAAGGCTGTTTCCCGAATCAGGGCTTCCTTTTCCTCAATTGAGCTGGCTAGCTGTCCCTGAGGTCCATGCAGTGTTGGTGTAGTCTGGGCTGTCCTGGGCTTCGTGTATTTTAGAGCCTGCCAGCACCTCACAGTGTCCACAGGGCCAGGGTGGTCAGTTGCCCCTTCCAGGAAGGTTTCCCAACAGGTACGCTTTGCTTGTCGGATGGCTCGATAGTAACTATTCCGGGCCTCCCTTAGCTCCGCTGTGGAGATTCCTTGTTCTTGCCATGCTCGCCTTGCATGACTGTAGGTCCTGCGGGCCTCTCTAATCTCTGGTCCCCACCAGCGCTTCGATTGTGGAGTCACCCGTAGCTGTTTCGCACGTTGATTTAGTACTGCTGTCAGGGCTTCCTGGATCCATATAGCTTCCCCAGCTAGGTCTTCTGATGAGCAGGAGTCTCCCAAACAGGGCCTAGATTGTGTTCTTGTTTGCCAATCCCCTTTGGCTTCCTCCAGGGCTTGTGGGTTGGCTTGAAGTGTCTGAATCTGCCACCCTGTTACATCCTGTGAGGGCGTTGCGGATATTCGCTCCAGAGAGGTCCATTCCATGACTATCAGTTCATGATCTGAACCAGTTGGGTGTTCTTGGTCAATCACCCATGTTTCCAGAGGCCCCATACTAACCGTGGTTAGAGCCAAGTCGATAATTGAGATCCCCGGAGTTCTTTTCGGTCGAGTGGAAACTCCTAGCTCATTGTTGATGTAGAGGCCTGCTTTATCTATCAGGCCCTCCAATGGCCCAGCGTTCACTCGGGCTCTCGCGAGAGGGTTCCATAGTGGGCTATGAGCGTTGAAATCTCCCACAAGCAGGCATCTTCCCTCAATAACCTGGTCCCACTGCACATCTTCTAGTGCTCTCCTCTGTCTTTCACTTTCCCCATGCCAACAATGACCCATTCCCAGCCAATTGTCATAGCAGTTGATTATTCGGGTTCTTCGTGCTTTTTCTCGGGCCTGATTTAGCTCCCATACATCCATCACCATGAGGTATGGGTGATTAAGAAGGTCTGTCCGGGCTTCCACGATCACCTTGTTTACTAGATCACGCCGGATCGCTACCGCCACTCTCTGGTCTCGGCGAGATCCCGCTTCTGGCCAATATATCTGATATCCTCCATGTCGGAACTCCATATCAATATAGGGTTCCTGTAGGCATGCTAGTCCCACCCCTAGCTCCAGCCCCGCCTCCAGAGCCGCAACAGTGACTGCATAGGTCTTGCGGCAATTATGCTGGAGTAGTCGCATTAATGGGGTGTCAACTGCCCTGGGGTGTTAGTGCCCCTCATCTCAGTGTCCTCCTCATGGCCTGTTGTCAAGCTGGGCCCCAGATATCGCTCAGTCTGGGGGCTGTTGGAAGCTGAGCTGCTCCATGGTCGTGATTGGTGATTAACCGCACTAAATGAAGAGGAAAGTCGCTGGACAACTCTGATCAACTATTCAAATGGCCAACATGGCCAAAACAAGGAGCGCACTAAGGTCGAGAAACGATCTAAATACAGCAAATTACTACTCGCGACTCCGCACACTGTAGCGATAATCTTCTAGTTATTATTATTATATTATTTAATCAAGTTTATTGTCCATATCGAGCCTCAAGGCTATGACAGGCCATACTCCATGGAATTGAGGCCAACAGCTAACCTGCAGCCTCTTGTCCCTGTGAGTTCCTGAGGCAAACCCTCTTCTATAATATTTCTGATCCTTTTCCTTCCTCGCCTGCATGCGCAGGGCTTTTGAGCCTCGGGAGAGTGCTCTCTTTGTGTTTTCGGAGTAGGGTGAGTGTAGCCTGGGCTGACTCTCAGCTTAGGCTACCCTCCCTGCTACCATTCCCCTGTTCTATTAGGCTATTCTGCTGCACATTTCATCCAAGAGCTGTGAATAAAGAAATGTGGGTGGCCCACCCGACTAAATAGACCGCAATTCACATCTACCTGTGAACAACAACTCCCGAGAATATACAGTTGGAACATCGAGATATAATGTTCTTGGCCACGAACGAAACTAAAGTATTGATTGGATGTGGGTCAACACGGGCCATGGATACGAGGATTTACAGTCAAATTCCAATGCTGACAAACTTGAGGTGGCGGTGGCCCATGGACAGAGAGAGAAGCCGACCATGGTTATAGCGCGGGTGATCTTTGCGCTAAACATAAAAGGGTTTGTATAGAGAGGGTTAGTACTTAGTATGCAACACTGACGACAATAGGTACTTCCATTCTGCAAAGTTCTCAGACTTGATCATACATACTGAGGACCAAGAATTCAACAATTGAGGCTTGATGGAAAATGAGCGAATTTCCCATGACCATTACTGAAGCGTATTCGAGTACGCCAAAGACAGATAGAGGTCTGCGAGTCCCGCTTGTTAGGACAGCACTCAACTAGTTATATCGACCGCTTCCAAAAAAAAAAAAAAAAAAAAAAACCGAAGACTTTGTGCAAGTCCTTGAGGAGACTGTTGGCTTTGGCACTGACCTTATTCAAAGCTTAATTTCTCGGAAGTTCTACAAATCCCAGTCTAACGAAATATTGCTGTCCAAGATGTGACAAGCAGTGGCAAATTGAGAGCCCGGCTTTTCCTACTGCCCCCTATGTGAATACAATAGGTCCAACTGGAAATCATGTATTGTCAAGAAGTGATTTTCCTTTCATGAAAACAAGCACTACTGTCTAAATATTTAGCCAATCTCTCAATGTTTTCATGGAATTAAGTCCACTTTAACTTATGTACAAATCCCAGGATTCTCCATGTCTCATACGACCGTAGCCAGTCGGCTGCGAACCAGCATGTTCTCTTCCATTCCAGGCTCAGGGAAGCCAGTGACATTGACTCCCTTCCGGAAAAGAAGGCAATGTGTCGATCCGCCAAAATGGAACATCCCAATCTCATCGCCCTTCTTGACGTGATCGCCTTCCTTGACAGTGATATCACATGTAGAGACCTCAGCCATGCCAACACCAATAAATACCATTAGACCAATGGCAGGCTCGTCCGCCTCAATGAAGATCAGTGCTCGCGTGGCAGTTGCAGTAATGTATGCCTGTGAGATGACCTCACCCTCAAGATCAATATCCTGAGAGTGAGCATGTGGATTTCCGACACCTTCAAACAGTGGCTCGGAGTAGTATGTCCCGTCAATGACGTAGGCTTTGACCACCTTTCCAGAAACAGAGGCATGCCAGCGGTGGTAGCTCAATGCACTAAGGAAGGCCTGATAGACTGTTCCCCCGACAAACTGGGAGGCGAGCGAGTCATGGCCCAGCATGTCAAGCACAGAATACGGCTGGCTCTTGATCCAGAATTTATCACGGCCGTGGGCATTATGTGCAATTTTGTACGGCTTCGACTCGCATGCGTTGGCGATAACGCGACCATCCTCGGGATCTGCGACCGGGCGCATTCCATCATGCCACAACCGAGTGAAGAAGTCGTCCCAGGACTTGAAGCCGTAATTCGGTGCAGATGGGTCACATTGGAACATCTGGTGGAACTCGAGGTCCTCGGCAGCCGTTGGGCCAATCTTTGCGACGGCGGTGAGTTCGCGGTGGCCAGTCTCGCCGAACCAGCCTTGGGAAGTGCTGTTCAAAACATTGGCAGACGCGGGTGAACGCAAGAAATCACCCCATGCATTGAGAACCTTCTTCAGCATGGCATTGATTTCAGGGTCCAAAAACGCAGCATAGCCACTGGGTGTACCCATTGGCCAATCCAAGACCGCGTTCATGGGCAAACCGACCAGCCCGACGCGGTGAGCCTTGTCGGTCCACGACGGGGCAGTGGTGAGAAGGTGATTGAGAACACGAAGGAAATGATGGTAATCGCGAATCTCGGGATGCCCAGTCGGGTCCTGTCCGTATGGCTTCTTGTGTGGAACTTCCTCGAGCATGCCTTCGATGAGCATGTAGACTCGGGTGTTGGTTTCAATAAGATGTTTGAACTCTTGTAGAACTGGATGTAGCGCATGCTCCTTGCTGTCAACATGCTTGATAATTCCACCTAGCCATTCTTGGTGAGCAGTGTGGTCTGCTGGCATCCATTGGCCGACCCTGATAGCTGTTTAGAGAGATTTCGGCTTGGTGGCAGAATAGACAGAACGTACTTATGGAGATGGTGGACGTGGGCATCCTTGGGCGGCATTTTTGAATACTATTGCTTAAATTGCTTTGTGGAAGGATCAATTTTAGGGTGTCACAAGGAGATCTGTTTGGTGTCTTTAACACGGTTAATCCTGTGGAAGGAAGAAAGCTTGATTTTGACCTATTTAACGGTTTTTGGAGTGTTTCATCATAGTGACGCCGGTGGGGGAAAGAAAGCTGTGATGGCCTGGTCATGTGCATATCTTGCTATATTTCGGCTTGATGAGCTCATCAGCTTGGGTTTGATGCAGTATTCAATGTACTTAATTTAAGAGCAGAGATCTTGTACACTCAGCTGGCTCACTTCTAAAATTATACCATTAGTGACTTGCTTAGGTAGGATAGGACTTGGAATGGATTGTTGATTTACTATAATATAAGTAAGTATAAGTGTGCCTGTTGATAAAAACGAGAAAGACTTACGATAGTCGTCAGGGGATACTCCCAGTATGGATTATGGATAAGCACAGTGGAAGCAGGTAAGACCGAACTTCCTCCAATTCCCATCTCCCCATTGTAATTCCACAACCCCCCCCCCCCCAAACGTCCCAAATCCACTGTCCGCAGAAGAAGAGCCGAAGCTCAATCCGGCCTGCGCCTTTTGCTGGCAGGCTGTGTCCGGCAAGGGATATTCATGTATTTGAGTAGGGCACTTCACACCCTGGATAAACTGATCAGGTATAATGTATATAGCCACATCCCAGAGCCCATATTCATCGAGGATTGTAATTATCTGTTTCCGTACTGGTATCCAGTTAGAGAGAGAATAAGGAGATGCACTCACGATTATCGCAGGAGGGTTATTGCTAAAATCACTGCCCTTCCCATAGCGGTAACATTCCAAGGCGTTCCATTCAGTGAGGTCGAAAGATTACAGGATTTTATCACAAACGGTATCCCACAATGGAATATACTTCGAGTACCGGATAGCATGTTGGAAGTATAAGAGCTTCTTCCTGGACTATTTCGACCTGGATTCCGTGGAAGCCCTTGGCCAGAAGATGCTTGTGGATTTCTTGCGTGGCATGTAACCAACTGTTATCCAATACACGCCTCCGTGCTAGTACTAGCGCGGTTGGTATTGGTACCTCTTCTAGGTTGAAATTGGGCTGGCGCATGCATATATCGATTTCCAGATACTCCACATCAAATATTTCCAAAATCGACTCTATATCATGTGAGTGAAGAATCCGAATAAATGCGATGCGCAAGCTCAGGATCCATCCAGTGGACTGGCGTCGTCCACACAAAAAAGCGGCCCCCTCACTCGCAAATCTTCGTTTATCCAGCCATCGCTGGAAGGCTCCCATTTGTCAAGACTTGAGCCTAGCGTCCGACACTTGCGACCTCTGGAAGATAATGTTGCCGTTGATGCGGAACTAAATTCTGTATGGCAGGTGTACATATTGCTAAATGAACGAGATGGCATGCTGTATCAATGAGAGGCGATGAAGAAAGCAAGAATATATGGGGATTAATGTGTCGGCATAGGCAACTATGGTGGCGAACGCAGCACTGAAAAATGAATATGTATATCTCCTACAATCATCTAGTACTATTGTTATATCCCTTCCTCTTCTTGATACCTCTCATCTATCCAGATAGCTATGTATTGTTCAGTGATTCTTCTTCCTTGACATATATTCAGAACAAAGGTTCAAGGCAAGATATCCTCAAGAAGTCGAAAATAGACCAGTTACAAGGACTGCGAGTGCCTTTGCCTGGATACGTGCATGTGCTGGGGCCAGTAATCTTTTTGATAATCGGTTCAGGCACCCTTGGCGGCTTCCTCGAGCTGACGTCTGCACTGAGTTACTTTCTTGTGGTCTACCCCGGGGCGCAAAGGCATGGCAATATTCCCTCCTTTCAATTCTTCCTTATTTCCTTCTTGTGGATATGTGTTAATTCGTATCACAGTCCCCAGAAAGTGGATAGGTGACCTCACAACCCCTCATAACCTGAATGCACACAAGTCAACCCAGCCTGATGGACATCGGAGCTCATACCACATTCCCCAATGAACAGATTTCTTTGATTCGAAGCAAGTCAAGCCTTCAAAAGGCAGAACGGGCCCATGCAGAGGACTCATATGGCATGGATCTCGGTAAAAGAGCTTATCTGAGAGGCCTGAAAATGATTGAGAACTTCGAAGAACTATTGCAATTCATTCAAAATTCCGGAAATGGAGACTACTAAGGGATATAACCAACCCAACTGGGCCCTGCTCACGATCAAACATTTGTAAGTCAATTACAATTGCAGCCTGAGATACCAGCCTTTCCCTAACTCCCTCCTTGTTTACATTCCATGTCTGTTCTGAATACCATCTAACCTTGAAACTTAGATCAACCCCTATAGTACCCCCGGACTTCTCTCATCCCTTAGGTTTTTACCGGAAACCCCAACAATTGCGAGATTCTGTTAAGAGCCGGCCGAACAGCGGAATACACGCAAGGATTGTGCAACAAAATGAGGGCAGCCTATGTTGCTAAGGATGTGAACGCCAAGGGTGAGCTCGTCACGAAGATGACGCGCGAACACTGTATTACCGGGCTGAGAGGTAAGCCGTTCCCAAAACAAGGTGACCCCGGGGCTTTTGCTGTGGGCAAAGATGGGGCAATGATCCGGTTGCTATTTGGCAGCAGTCAAGAGAAGAACGTTTCATATTTTACACATTACTCAGATTTAATTGCGCACATAGAGTCCACGGGCACCAAAGCAGTACAACCCTGAATGCCCCGTGTGAGCCCCGATTCTAACGCCAATTGGCATAGAATTGTTGCCGTGTCGATTGGTGTGTTTGATTTGGTGCTTGGCATAAAAAGTACAAATACAACCTCACTCACTCGCCACACTTGTGAGCAAGGGCAAAAACAAAAAACATACAACAGCCGGGATTCGCTGGAGGTCACTCACCCAACTACTAACCAGCCGGTGTGTGGCTTAAGTGTTTGGTCAATAGTTTGCATCCATGTCAATGCCACTTGAACAGGCGTTAACCAACTATGTAGCCTAGATAGATACATAGATTTGCCAGATTGCATGTCTTATCGATTTCCTTTTAAGGAGCCGTACGGTGAGTCTCTACCGAATCCAACAAAACATGACCACGCAGTTACCTATTGTAAACTGTACCGGACTCCATAAACTGCTTTCTCATCCGTCTTCGGCTCGTGGAATCGGTGGTCGATTACGGCCAAGACTTCTCCCCCGCTCCAAATTGGAGAAATACCACCCCAAAATGGGGACCGGCACCCATAATACTCGGGGTATTCCAAGTACGGAGTATGTAAACTTGAATTTCTCCTACACGGAACTAGATTAGAAATCAACTATATCGTGAAATGATCCCCAGCTCTTTCTCCAAACCTTCGGAACGAATATTCAGGACTTCTCATCAACATGAAGTCTTCATCCCTTACTCGTATAAAAAGTCTTTTAAGTACGAAAGTTCCAGTTAATATGGACATGGACAGCGACCCAGAACCCATCCTCATACAATAACAAAACCGCGAGCATGGACGAGCTCTCCAAAACCAAATCCCGAGAGATCGAATATCTCTACCTCGACTTCGACACATCACTCCCAACACCACTCATCACTTCACCCCCCGGACCCGGACAATCCTCGCCGCCAGAACCCCCCCAACCTGAAGAAATATGGATCGCCGTTTCTATGGCCCAAATGGCGCAAATCCATTATGATTTGGATCTCATGTGCAGTGACGGCCCTCGCCGGTTACTCTGCAGGGGAGGCCAGCCCGGCGTCAACAGAGCTGACCGCAGAATGGGGCATCAGCTCGGTGGTGTACAATCTGGCTATTACGATCTTCTGTGTGGGGTTTGGGCTTGCGCCGATGGTACTTGCTCCTTTCTCTGAGATCAATGGAAGGAGGCCGATTTTTGTTATCAGTGGGATTATTTTTGTTGGTATGGAAGCTCGTTCATCACGAAGAATCTGAGAGAGAACAACGATTGCCTGAAGCTAACATAATGATTCTGAAATAGCCTGTACTATCGCATGCGGTGGAACACATTCTTTTGCTGGGCTGGTCATAGGGCGACTTTTCCAAGGCGTGGGAGCATGTATGTTACTTTTCTCTTCTATTGGACTTTCATGTCATTGACTGACAGGACAATCCACAGCAACCTTCTCTACAATGGTTGGAGGCGTTATCAGCGACTTTTACCACGCCGAAGACCGAAACACTCCCATGGCATTGTTCTCTGCGGCTGCTCTCTTCGGCACAGCACTAGCTCCGCTGCTGTCAAGCATTATTGTGTACCACACTACATGGCGCTGGATTTATTACTCACATACTATTGTGTCAGGGGCGTTTGTCATTTTGATCTTTTTCTTCTTTTCAGAAACACGTGGGAGTGTTCTTTAAGCCAGAAAGCCAAAGTGTTAAATGCATACTATGAAAAGCTTGAGGCTGGTGGCCATCATGGAGTCATCATACCTGGCAGCGGAGCCTGTGAGGGAGATAACACCAAGCGGATTAGGTGGAAAGTGAAGAGTGATGAACAGCGGGTGTCCTTGGTCCAGATGATCAGCATCTCCTGCTACCGTCCATTCCGTAAGTTCTCTACATGCCATTTTTGGATTTGTCAAGCCTCATGATTCCTGACTGTTTTCTAGACATGTTGTTCACAGAGCCTGTCGTCTTTTTCTTTTCCCTTTGGGCTGCTTTTAGCTGGGCTGTCCTGTATCTCCAGTTCAGTTCTGTTCCGTTGGTTTTCAAAACAAACCATAACTTCAACACTGAGGAGAGTGGAGCTGTCTTTACATGTAAGAAATCCCAATAACCAAGAAAAAAAAAAAAAAAAAAAAAAAAAACTAACCAGGATTTCCAGCAATATGTATCGGGATAATCCTCATCACCATCATAAGTATTTACCAAGAGAGGATCACAGAGCACTTCATGAAGCTCCCGAAATCAGCCGAGCGACGTCTCTACTTTTCCTGCATTGAATCAATCCTGTTGCCTATAGGCTTATTCTGGTTTGGATGGACGTCGTACTCGTCCATTCCATGGATCGTGCCGACACTGGGCGTCGGCTGTGCGGCAATGGGCATCTTCTCGGTCTACTTGGCTGTTTTCAACTACTTGGCTGATACCTATCATCGATACGCGAGTTCTGCTATTGCAGCGCAATCATGCTGTAAGTACACTATTCCTTGCCTCCATTTATCTATGCGGAGATGTCAGCCCTAATTACAAATTATGGCGCAGGTCGAAACCTACTAGGCGGTGTCTTTCCATTGGTTGCCAACGCCATGTTCACCAATATGGGCTATCCTGCTGCATCCAGTTTATTAGTGTTATGGGGCTCTCGTACGAACCCAAAGGATGACAGGTTTGGCCAAGGCCAGCACGGAATGCAACCTGCAAGGGGTCCAAATCAATTATTGATGACCTTCGTACGAACCCCCTGCATACAAGGACTAGCGGTGTCCCCTCCGTACGACTCCCGACTTCCGAGGAGGGAGTATCATTCCCCGGACGTCCATAAAAGGCTGCCTTCGCTTCCGCTCTGTTTGTTTCTTCTTCAACGATTCCTTCTTGTATAATAAAGGGTAGCTTTAGGTTAAGACAACTTGAGTTCAACCCCTAACAATTAGGTGGAATTGTAAGAAATTTATTTCCTCCTCCCACAGCCCAAGTAATTCATCATTTGACCGTGAATTTTAGGGTGCTTTCCTGGCACTTGTTCCATGGCTCCTTGCCTTTTTTGGGCCCAAAATCCGCGCAAAAAGTAAACTAGCAAGTGTAAGTTTTCTTTTGCCGTCATTTACTACCTATCATAAACTGACACTGCTATAGGAACTTGCGCATTAAGAATGTAGATTACAACAGGACAGTCAATAGATTCGTCCTATTCTATAATCTCTTGATGAAAGAACACAGTACTAATCTATGTGTTTTATCTTCGTCATACATCAGAGACCTTTCAGGCCTGCCCAACTGCAAATCCGCAACCAGGGAAGGAAACTAATATGAATGTATGGAGTGGTCGTTGATAATCGCAATAATCATGTTTTGTATAGTAAAAATAGTGTTCCCAAAGCCGCAAAACTTTAGTATATTTGGAGAGATCAGTTGACTTGCTCCAATTTGGGGATTGCCAGTAGTCCGGATTCGATATAAAACGTACATTGAACTTGGATAGCCTGAAAACTATGCCATAGATGAACTGCATTGGTGGTCAACGAACGAACTACAAGAAAGGAATGTAAAATGGAAGACTCTAAATGCCGTTTCTGTGTCTTGAGAGTTATAGTACCTGGCACTCCTGGCAAAAAGGCCTGGTTCCCGGGAGATACCCTTACAGGTTTCATTGAGATCACTTCTCCAGAATTCAACATTGTGGATATAAGAGTCACACTTGAAGGTTTGTCTCAATGGATAAAATAAGATAATTTATGAGACTTTCATTTATTTATACGATAACTAGGTCGTTTACGAGTTTGGATGCACAACCGTGACCATGACCGGAACGCAGACCATTACCCATTTGAAGATATGGTCGAGCATCAGGTAAGTTAGGTTGTTTAAAAGAAAGTCATCCCAATTTTATTGACGCAGCCAAAAAAAAGTTTCTCAAAATGGACTACACACCAAACTGGTCCAGTTCTGTACAAAACCCAGACTCGAATGATTCAATATCCTTTCTCCAATTCGACTTCACCATCCCACACAAAGTATTCCTCCTACCTGGCACCGAGAACCCAGAAGGCTCTCTCCAGTTGCCCCCCTCCTTCGAGGACGGAGACGAATTCGTGGATACAGCAACAAACAAACGATACAAGCAGCCGCTTGTTTTGTATGCAATCCAAACCAGCGTGACGTTAAGTCCTCCCGGAAATACGCATACACCTTTCCGCAGACTCTACGCCATGAATGAGGTTCAAGTCCTTCCTCGTTCTGGTGCGCAGCCGCCGTCGGCTACTGAAGACTTCCCTGGGGAGTTCCAGATGGCGTCTGTGAAATCGATACAGATACAGCGTTGTTGTATTCCCTGGAAGAGTTTGGCGGTGGGAGAAATGGCTATGTCGACAAGGGAGCCTCCACCGATTAATCTGGATACATCTGCTCCTAGGGGGGGTTCTTACTGCGATATCTCAGTCGCCTTCACACCAGCAAACCCCGTTAAGAAAGTGGGGGGCTTTGAGCTTGGTCTTCTGAGAAGCCGTCTAAAATCCCGGTTACGTGTTAAAACATACTATTCAACACAGAATCTTCAACAAATACCACAGAGGCCAAGATGCTCACCACTGTCCCCGGTTCGGCTGCGATCCAGTTTCATTAACTTGGATACTCGCGACATGTTAATGCCACTAAGCCCCTCATCTGAGGCAAAGAAAGAATGGACGACATCAATCTGTCTGCCAATAAATACACCATTGGACATGACGCCTAGTTTTACCTCTGCATTTGCTGCACGGTTATACGCTCTTAACCTGGAAATCAGATTACTTAATCTGGCTCATGAGCCGTTTAAACTGGAGGTGCCTCTACAGTTGGTTTATGGACATGGACATCCTGACTGACAGCTATACCTTGAATCTTGGCCTTTTTTGCTCTTTTTTTTTTTTTTTTTTTTTTTTTTTTTTTTTTTATGTCTTAGGGCTAGCAGAACCTGCTTGTTTTACTTACAGGGCCCTGAGATTTTTTCTAAAGCTTCAAAATGATATTCTTTGCCATATTCCCGTATACGTCGGCACTTGGAGAACACTTAGAGAATTCGGTGATATAACTGGCAAACGAGATTACTGATATGTGAGAGACAAGATAGTAATCATTTCTTACTTCTTTTGTCTGTCCTTTTCATAAAAATTATTCAAACACTATAAGTTGATGCAGGAGTCAGTAGCTGGCTTCGTTTCCCAGTGGAGCAAGTGGTAAGGGCGCCAACAGTCTCCGTCGGATCTTGGGATGCTGATCGCATTAAAAAGTTGGCCGGAGTTGAGTATTCATGTCCGCGGTGCTCTGAACAATGGTATCAACTCGCGAAGCCATTCTCCATGTGACCATTTACTGCAGTGTCCCTGCCGGTGTGGAGGCCATGAAGGTTGCTGGGAGGACCATCACAAGCGGCAGCTGGCTGAGCTTTCACCTCTACTGCAAAATTCCTAGGTGAAGATATTCTACGTATAGTGATAGAATAAAATAGGTCATATATTATGCTTTAATAATTATTCCTGGCCAAGAATTCTATGTACACTCCGTACATTGCACTGCGGTTAAATAATTAAACGGGTGGGGATCTTTCCCTTTTTGGTCCTACCAAAATATAATGCCTAGCTCAGTAGTGTGCGAGAGACATTGTACGATTTTATTGTTGGATGCTGAAAAGCAAAAGGCTGTTTGCTTAGACTTCTCATTGCTTTACCCTACCTCCCTCACTTCAACTGGGGCTCTGTTCACTGCGCTGACATACAACTATTGAATTATCAATTGAAACTGTCTCCAAAGCCCAGTCGTCTCGAAGGAAAGACGATCATCATTACTGGCGAAAGATATGACTGATACGGAGTCGAAGCATTCTCGATATGCGCTTTGATGAGAGGAGAAATCAAGAACTCAATCAAATAACACCAGCCAAAGACCAGATAAGTTTTATAAAACTCATCCAAAGAACTATCCCCGTGGCCTTTTTGTGAAGTGCTAGTACCACACATGATCCAAGGAATCTCATTCTTCATCCCCCCAACGCTCCCCCTGCTGCCAAAAAAGTATCTCCGTTGCACCTGTGCGCTCTAGTCGCACTGCATCCCACATTATGTGCCCCCAGAAGCGGCAGTCATGCTTTGTAAGACCTGAACCAAGTTCGCTGTAATAATCCCGCCATATTAGCGTCCAGGACAGCGGTTCTTACCCACTTATCATCGGCTGTTCTTCAAATACCGAGTCACTTCGCATCTGCACACAGCCACAATCCGCTTTCCTTCTCGGGTGAGTGGGTGACTGTCACAACCTAGCTTCTCTTCGTATCGTAACCTAAGGTTCTAGTTAGTTAAGTCTCAGTTGGGGCACTCACCTGAGTGTCCTTCGTCGTCGTC